AGCGCACCGGAATCGCTTCAAATGAAGACGCACTAATCAGTAAAGAAAGGGACATTTTGTTCAGATGTTTCTGTTTGCTGCTCAGGAAATCTGTGACTCCCAGCACAGAGATATCAAAAGTGCAACAACTTATTTTTAAAGGGATTTCAATTAATTAGACCAGAAAAAATTAATCCCCAACTAGAAAAATATGTTTTTTTTTTGTTTTCTCTAAGCAGCTGCCTGTTTGAAAAGCAATTATTCTAAAAAAAAAAAAAAAAAAAAAACTAATTATTAAAAACAATGTTTCATTTAATATCCTTATTCACGCCAAACAGATTGTACCTAAATGACAATGATCAACTTTGCGTGACTGCAGCTTGTTAAATTAAGACAATAGGAAAAATAACAGCTGAGAATTTAAAGAAAAAGCACAACATGCAGACTAATGATATGCCTCACACAGGCTAATGGCCCGACCGCCTAACTGATCTGTGGTCGGAAAACGGGGAAGGTTATCAGATTGTGTTGGCCGATCCCAGTGCTGCTGGATGGACGAATGTTTCTCTCTGGTCTGAAGCTCTGGGTGGTATCCAGTCTGTGGCTGGTAACACGTATTCCCCAGATCAGCTTTAATGAACACTGCGCTCTCCAGTCGTCTCCTCTGCTTCTTTAGCGTGTTTAAAAAGAAATCAAAACAGCGAGTGGGCTCTTTCTGGTAAGTGGGAGTTTAATAAAGGCAAAACAGAAGAGATAGAAAAAGAACAAATTGGTGAAAATGTCCCGAGGTGTCAGTACTGACTGGTTAAAGGATCCGGCGTAATTATACTTTCCGTGTTTACAACACAGACGACGTTTCCAAACTCGAAGTTTGAGAAAGCAGAAAGTTCAAATTCAGGTGGCTACAGACATAAAGCTGTTACAGAAGACGGATTTTTATTTATTTTCTTTATGAATTTAGTGCAACATTTAGCAAATCCCACTAACGTTCAAACTTAGAGGTTGGGTTCAATTGGATTTGATGTTCCAGGTTTCAATATCCGAAGCACATGGAGCAAACAGGTAGCCACCGGTTCACTGCTGTTAGCCACATAACAGTCAATCTTTTCATAAATACCTTGAAAATGATGTCAGACTTTCTCCTCAGTACCACAAAACCGGAACACAAGTGATACTTTTACTGCAACTTTAGAACCATGGTTCTCTACACTCTTATCTCACAAGCTGCATTGATTCTTGTTACAGTAAGCCGTGCAGGAGGAGGTACAAGCACAACAATAACTCAGAGTAATTGTAAAAGACAGCTTTACAAATTGGCTTTGAAGGTTGAAAAGGTTTTGAAAACAGGACATGAGTTACAGAATGATGAAGTGGATCAGTGAGATGAAAACAACAGAGCCTGGGTCAGTTTTTCAATGGAGATGATAAAGTATGATGGTGAAGCATAGATTTGATCAAATGTGTTCTTAATACAGACAAACTGTCATCTCTAAAAATTGTTTTACTGCATAGTGCTCTTTTAAGGATACTTTTCCAGGACACAGTGTGACTGTTTCCCTTTTTATCATCCCAAAGCAGCAACGGGAAGTCTGGACGAGATTGAAATGATTAGGGTTTTTTATCATGCCGTAGTAAAAACAAAGAATGTGACTGATCAGCTGTTGACGTTATCCCCGGCTCCAAGCTTCAACATCCGAAGAACATGAAACACACGCTGTGCGGCGATTCTGTCCGCCTCCACAATTGTCGGAATCTGGAATCAAATCCCAGCTATTTTTATTTTTTTTTACCAGAAATATGGGCAAAGGTTCCTGGATGAGTATTCTATTTTTTATCTTGAAAACAATTTTATCGGACACTGCTTAGAACCAAGAGTCGTCTTCAGATTTCTGTTGCTAAGATTCAGCCGGTTTAACCCAGTAAGACTCTTCGCAAACACATCAGGGTTCTGCTGATCCTCACATGCATAAAGTTTCTTTAACCCTTCTCAGTAATGTTGCTTGGCTGGCTGCTTTTTTCTCCTCCCGGTTTGTTGACTCCTTGACTGAAGGCACAGGCTGCTCTGTGGCCCCCCGACCAGATTTACTGCGATTATGCGGGCCGCTGTTTACTTTTCCCAGCATACTTAGATTCCTCTTTCTTTCATTCATTCATATTAATTCTGCCTTTGCTATTTCCTTTCCTGCAGGGCTTGAGTTTCTGGCCATCCTTTGCGAGCTCGACCACACACGTTAGCATTGCCTTAAATCTCTAAATTCAAACTGCTCAAACACAGTTTCATCTGTTCCAGTGTCTTATGTCGTACTCAAAGAAACGTACCTGGCAGTGGGAATAAAATAATAAAGTGCTACAAAATTATCTTGAAAACAAAGTACAGTTGTATTTTCACGCTGAGAGCCATTCCCAGATTTTCTGTGGGAGTTTGTGAAGTGAAGGAAATGTGTGTTTTTTTTTCTGTGAATAATGAATCACATGCACAGTTGTCAAAATATTAGCAATATAACAAAAAATAAATAAATAAAACTAAGTAAAAGTAGGATGATAAAATTAGGTTGAAACGGTGGACCTTTTTTTTTTAGTTAAAGATGTCCAATGAAATCATTGGTTTTCTCAGCCAATAATTTGCAGTTTTAAAAAATTATTTTTACAATCTGAACTTTAAATTTTTGCATGTGAGCAAGATAAACCAGCTTAGCCAGACCTAAACCAGTGGGATTTTTTTTGTACATTGTTGCTGTTAAAACTAATGAGCCAAAAAATAAATAAATAACAAACTAAACTTTCCAGCTCATTCCAGAGCATCCCAATGTCTTCCCAGGCTTTATAGATGTCCAGTTTACCGTAGGGTCTTCTACCCGATCAGATCTCATTCTATTTGTCAGTATCCATATAACACGACCACAGATGAGAGTCAAAGCGTAGATCAACCAAAACATCTGGGCCTTTTTGGCTTATCTCTCTCCAAAAGACTGCAGAATTGCACTGATTACAGCAGACGCAATCCTCACCTATTTACTAATCTAATCCCCAATCGGGGTCTAATCCCCATCACTGGTGAAAACCTGATCTGCAAGGAGCCCTCCACCCTTTTCTGATCTGATAGTCACATGACCACTGATGGGTCATTTCCGTCTAGGTTCGTCAGTGACATTGACCTGATGAGGAAAAACCTCAGCGTCAATATCTGCCACAGTGGACTACTGACTTCTCACACTTAGAGATTTTTTAACTGATTTATGACTAAACACCATCAGCTGCTGCTGGTGTCACTGTTTGTATCTTGGCTGTCCACTTGTTTGCCTTTATCTAGAAAGGTGCATGCCTTGCACGATCCGTTATCTCCCAGCAACTTGCCCAAACACACACACACACAAACACACACATACACACACACACACACACAGAGAGACTCTCAGGCACACATAAACGCCATTTAAACAGCAACCATTGCTGGGCTCCTTTTTCAAAGGCTGCAAAGTGAGGTTGGGGGGGGGGGTGATGGTCCACAAAAGTCAATTTACAGTACGGGTCAGTACATCTGAAAGGCTTTACTACTGCAGCCAAATTCTTTGTCGCCCTCATTCACAGCTGGTTATGTAGACTGCAGGCTGCACAAAGGCAATTGGCAATATATTGTCCGGGTCAACATTAGCCTCCGATATATTTTCACTCCGCTCCATTAAAGTCCTCTTTTCCTCCTCCATTACCAGGCATTTCCCACAGAGCAAGGGGTCACGCAAACTATGAGCAGATACTTAGATATTCAGACAACGAGAGAGAAAGAAAACCGGAACAATGGAAGTAATTCTATTTTTAGGGTCCATTTTGGACAACTGAGCGCTAGTTTTGAGGCTATTTGTTAAACGGTTTCAGCCAAATCTCTTCACATTCCAGCCAAAAACTGTTAAGTGTTATGACACAACTGAGTAACAACAGGTTCTAATTGTGGCGACACATTCTGGTCTCACATGAAGCTCGTTGCTATGTGAACTATCTGAAGGTGCGATAATTTAAGCAGGGTTAGGCTGAGGTCAGCTGAATACTTTCACGGCTTAATGATAACGATGGTTGCTCAGGAGGGTAACTAGGTGATGTCCAGCATTTCCACACTGAAGCAGGTCAGGTTGGAGCACTATCTAATCTAGAGGAGGTGTGAGGAAATTAGTCAAACCTCATGCTCGGCTTTAAGGTAAAAAAAAAAAAAACAGGGCAGAAGACTTTCCCAACATTAAACAATTTACATTCACATAAATGGGTGTTTCAATAAAAAAAATAAGTTATGTCTTAGGATGAGAGCGTCAGCTGGTGCATATGCATAGAACAAATTAATCCTGGGACGGATCGCCGGGCCAGCAGCCTAAGCAGAGAAGGCTTTCCAAGATTTCATTCCCCACCAACCCCTTGGGTCGGCTCCTCCACCAGGCGTTTCCAGGTCAGCCGAGAAACATAGACCCTCCAGGCCTCCAGCTTTTCTCTGGTCCCCCCACACCCCCAGTGGGACACACAAGACCTCATTACATATTTGCATCGCCGTCATCTGCTTCTTCTGCCGTCTGAAGAAATCTCGCTGCTGAACGTGCAAATGGCAAAGAAACAACTTTGCTTTACAGGAAAACAGTTTATGTGTCGTTTTTTGTTTTTTTTCTTTGTTTTACAAAAGATACCTTCTGCAGCTTTAACCAATCAAATGTGAGGGCCTTTTTTACGAGCAGTATTGGCAGTATGAAGAAATTTATTGAATATTGCTATAAACTATTAAGAATTATTAATAATTTGACTTTTTTAAAAATTTTAAATGCGGCATGTAAAGTCAGCCGTGTGCCCCGCTGGACTGGAAGGTGTTTGTTGTTTTGACCAACTCTCTGTTATTCCTAAATCAATATCATACAGTAGAAGCTTCTGCACTTCCCATATCTGTGCCTTCTGTAACTTTTTTCAGCAGCTAAAACTGTTTAATCCGTTACTAACACATCGTGACCGGTTTTTCCGAGCCGCCTTAAAACGCAACACGAGCGCTAAGACGCTCGCGCTGGGTTTACGTGCACCTGTCCCGCAGCGATGGAGACCTGCTGTTGCTAGGCAGAACCGCTCAGGTTCGTGTCAGAATCATGGCAGCAAATCCAACAAAACGCAAAGAACTTGGCGCAGTTTTCTCCCCCAAACTAAGCGAAAGAGTCGAGTAAAGCTGCTGGTAATGTGAGCTAAGCTAATACCGATATAGCACGGTAAGCTAGTTAACGGTTGTTGTTAATTGTGGTTGTAGTTGAGGCGGTTAACACCTACTGGTGTTGTTGTCTATGTTCAGCTGCGTAGGTTAAACCCGTGCGGGCTGTACAACGTCCTCAGACCCGATCTCTGACGGCGTGAGGCCTCCTAAGCATCCGCTGCTCGATTCCAACACCCAGTCGCATTGTTAGCGTGCGTCGTCATTGGTTTCCTGTTGGAACATTAAGTAAGTTTGTGTATTCAGGGTCTTGGCTTTGGATGTGGAGTCACATTTCTTCTCATTACCTGAAATAGATCCGCCTAATGGGATCCGCTTAACCTGCGTTTGAAGCCAAAAAACGCAACAACAAAAAAAAATACAGCTGTGAAGCAACTTCTGAGTCATTGAATATGCGGCCAAAGAAAAAAATTGTGCTGGTGAAGAGGTTCGCATAAGATTGATTCTTTTTAGTGAAGGAAGGGAAATACTCTGAATTTTTCCTGCTTTCATAAGTTTAGAAATCTACCACCACGAATCACGAGCAGCCCCCCTGAGAGGACTGTTTCTGGGCTTGTTCAGGCAGGCAGAAGTAAGCCCATATTTTAGCAAAAACAATCAACTTTCTTTCATGTTGCAGCTGGAAGTGGGGGTCTCGCACAGATAGGAGGCTGAGGAGTTAAAGCTGGAGCAGAGGTGAGATGGTTGCTTTAATAATGCTTTATAAGCAGGTAAAACGTTCGGTTGAAGTCAGTTCAGTTAAAAAGCCTTACAAATATTTTTCAGGCCTTATCTCTGCACATCCGGAAACTTCTGTGTATTTCATTGGGCTTTTATGTGATAGACCAACATAAAGTGGTGAATAATTGTGAATAAATTGTGGCGGTCCCTCTAAATAAAAGGTTAGCTGTGCTAACTCTGAAACAATCCTAAACATTAGCACTGCTAACGCTAAACTACTTAGCAGAAGCGCTAACTTCAATTCCATTGATCTTACTCGAGCACCAGTTTAATTTTAACATTGTAACTTATATGCTTTACAATGCACTTAAATGTTGTGTTTATCTTTATGTCTTGTCAACCGACTGTCAATGTTCTATTTTGTTCCAGTAGATATTTGACATAAAGTCATACGGGAAAAAGGGAAAGAAATGAAGGAGAGGAAACAAAACTGCTGCTTATAACATATTCTTTAAAAGAATAGAGCATGAATATGAACGTCTACGTGACCAAAACTTAAACTCTGATGTTAAACTTTATTTTAAACGGGAACTTCGCCAAACAGCCAAGGAAATTAGCGCTTTAGATTTAGTCCTGAAATTGTAGTTTAAAGGACGCTAAGTTTTAAAATTAGCAAAGGTGCTAAGAGAACAATTATGTTGGCTATTGGCGCTTTAGCAGAGTTGTGCCCACCATTGATTGTGGGGATGCTTTTGTGCCGCATGGAGAGGGAAGCTGGTCAGAGTTGAAGTGGAAGGAAGGACAGCAATCTTAAACATACATACAGAAACCCTCTGCAGAGTCTGCACTGATTTGAAAAGTAGAAAAGGCCTAAATGTCAATTTCTAGATGTGCAAAACACACAGAAAAATACTGCCGCTGCAATTGTTCACAAACAAGGTGTTGACTCAGAGAGTAATCCAAACCACATTTTTCAGATTTTTATTTGAACCCATTTATCATTCTCCATCCGCTTCGCAATTATGCACTGCTTTGTGTTGGTCTATCACATTACAGTCCAGTAAATATTGAAGTTCAAGTGGTATGAATACGTCTTCGAGGAATGCTGAGATGATCTGTTTTAATACAAAATATGCTGCTTAAATGACATGGAACGACATGACTCTTAATGGTGTTTAATTTAAAATGCAAAAAGTCTGTGAGGTTATGGGATATTTTATAAATACTTATTTCTTTATTTCAGTATACAAAATAACAGTATATACACCCACGCAAAAGTGGTTTACAAAATCCATGAGTTACGCTCATATGCTCTGAAAAATAGAATATATTTTGATCTGCCTGCATGTCAGACAAAATTGAGATAATGCACCGTTTCACAAAGTTCTTTGATTTCTTCTCTCGTTCCACAGGGAATCAGGCGTGTCATGGTCCAGGCACGTGACGAGTCCCAGGCATCAACCACAAAAATGTTCCGCGATTGAAAAGTACGTGAGGTTTTCCCTTTGTGTTCCTCTGTGGTGTATTGCTCCAGAGGAAAAAAAAAAAGTTTTGATAGTACCTAAAAGAAAAAATCTGAATCCATGAAAGCCCTTTGATATCCGGGGAAGGAGGCCAAACATATCCTCCAGTATAAAATCCAATATTATTTCTTTTTACTAGAGATATGTTTAAACTGGCTTTCCATATCTCTGCCACAGGGTGAGGGGTTATGATTACTAACATGATAGCGGATAACACCCGTTAGGACGGTCCTCTTTCCACACTTTTCCCATCAAGAAACCTCGAAGCCCAGTTGGAAGTTTTGGAGATGAAACGTGATATGGATACTGCACAAGAATATACCAACTCTTGTCGAGCTACGCATGCTAAAGCTGAAGACCGAAGTAAGCCTTCTGGGTACTGTAGTGCTTTGGTTAATCTGTAGCCTGGGGAGGGGGCTCGATACGGAGCCAAGGGGGCCGACGGTGGATCACTTGCAGACGTATCTCTCCACGTTGCGCTCACATTTTTTGCAGGTTACGTAGCAACACCAGTGGTACTTGCAGTGGCAGCGTTCGACTAGCAACTCTGTGTAGGGGTTGTAGCCGCGGCCGCAGCACATCAGGTCACAGCTGTCGCTGCCGACGGATGTTTTGTTGCACTGCCTGCAAAAAAAAACAAACAAAAAAACAAGGAAGACTTCTGCTCAGTGAAAATGTTTTAAAACGAAACATTTTCATATCTAAAATAGCAAATGTAAAAATAAATTACAACGAACAAAAGCAAAGAGTACTGTTCATATGTTTGGTTTTAGCAAACAATGACAGTGCAACTTCAAAAGTAATAACCTTTAAGCACGTATTATCAAATATACATTTCATTAAGTCCACGTCTGTTTTTAAAAGTTTTTTTTGTTGTGATCTATGCACTATTCTAATTTTAAACGTTTTTATTGACTGCAAGCGTAAAATCATCATAATTAACATAAATAAAGGTTCATACAGTCTCAGACATAAATGAACTTTTTAATAATATTTTAATGTATTGAGTGGATCTGATCGCATAAACAGGTTTGTTTTAAGAATGCTTAACATGTTGAACGATATTCCGCAAAGATAAATTTGCCAAAATTTTCCTAATTTCGGGAGATCGGCTGAGCTTTACGAGAGAAGCCGATCTTATCCACCAACCTTGTCGCCTTCTGCTCTGCTGTAAGAGAAGGCCAACCGACAGACCAGGTCACGTCTGCGCATGCGTGGCTAGCAACAATATATACTGCTCAAAAAAATAAAGGGAACACTCAAACAACACAAGTACATCAAACTTCTGTGAAATCAAACTGTCCACTTAGAAAGCAACACTGACTGACAATCAATGTCACCTGCTGTTGTGCAAATGGAATAGACAACAGGTGGAAATTATTTTCATATTTATTTCATTCATTCAGATCTAGGATGTGCTATTTGAGTGTTCCCTTTATTTTTTTGAGCAGTGTATTTAGTAACTTTTCAAACAAAAAAATCTGTGTTAGCCAAATTTGATATCGGCTTACAAATCGGGGTTCAGAAAACTGCAATCAGTGCAACCCTAGAAATCAGCCCAGTTCCTATTTGAAGCCAGGCAAGTATAGCTTATGAGAGGTTGTATATGTTGGAAACATGCATTCTGTCTCACTTTCTGAAGCACTCAGCCTAGCTAATCTTAGATTTTTGTTTTTTTCTCTGAGCTGGTCTCCACCCGAAGACTAAATCAGAGATTTATAAATCCATTTTTGAAATCTACCTAGCTATCTAGGTATATCCCACCAACAGACGGTGGGATATTACCTATACCTTCTCATGGTCCCGAGGGTCCAATCTGAACTGAGGAAGAGGTCTTTGCTACGTACTGCTCCTATGTCTGGAATCAATTACAGAATGTCTGAATTATAACAGAATCTGCTATTTGAATACTTCTTAAGGGGTTTTAAAGGATTTGGAAAGATCTTGTTGTAAAGGAAGATTGTACCTAAAAATGTTTCTGTCTAAATATCTTTTGTTAAAATGAGGCGAATGAATATTTTTTTTAAAATCCCTTTCAACTCAGTTAATTTACACTATAATTCTAAAAAAAAAAACCTTCTGCGCCCCGTCCTTCAATAATCTTCTGAGAGATTGTTAGTTGCCGGGCTTTAACCTTTCATGCTCTCTTTATTCCAAACATTTTTGTCTTCCATTTTGTTGTCTTTGAGCAATGGCTGCTTTGGCGCCTCTCATTCCAGAGGCCCGGGGGCATCCAGAATGAGCAAAGAATAGTCCTGTCATAAATCAAACGGGACACCCCAGGCGAACCTCCCTTTCTTTGGCTCGCCCCTCTGAACGTAACTGTTTGGTTTTATGGTGGCGGAGTGTTAATGACCAGCGGGGTGAATGAGCCTCTAAACTAATGACCGCTGCAGGAGGGAGGGAGAACGAGGAGGTGGGATTGAGGGCGTCATGCTTGCTGCATCAGAGGGAGCTAGCGGGCCTCCACACTGGTCACATTAGTACAGTCAGGAGTAAGAGGACAAAACGTCTGCAGGGTCGGATGCAAACATCAGGATTCTGCTCAAGGTCAAAATATAAGGCCTTCCCAGGACATGACAAGCCAATGCAGCAAGTGATCCCATTTCATCTATTGGGAATGCTGGCAGAATCCCACTTGGGTTTTTACTAAGCCAGCGGTAGTTGTTTAGCTGACAGAAAGGGACGAATGAAGTTAACTATTGTGTTTTAGAAAAGAAATACACATATTACCGCTGGCACGCATGAAATCAGAAATTTGATGGCTATATAGAGGCAGAAATTTCCTCTGGTGATTTTTTTTTTTATGTGGGAGAACACAAACTGTTTAATTCTGGACAATTTTAGCTTTGATATCAATAGATGGCACCCAATACTATTATTTTTTCATGTATGTCCTTTTTAATGGGACATACATGTGCAAAGTTGACTTTTTGGAGCTTTATGTCATCTTATAATGTCATTCCCTCATCAAAAACTTAACTGGAGTTTGGCTTTGTTACATTTATGCGTGTATTAGAAATCCTTGAATCTCCTATGACAACCAATCAGGAGTGCTTAAATGCCTGCTCCACCTATTTACCCACAAACTAGCAAACACCTGAGCTTATCATACCAACTACAACATTCCTAATAACGACTGTAAACGGCATCATAGAGAAGTATTGTTGTGCTGGACATGCTAAACTAGGATTGTAGGAAATGGTGGGAACGTCTTAAAGAGACAGAGGCCAATTTCAAAGTGTCAGATATGGCCGTAATATTTTAAACGTTTTTTTTTTTTTGTACACAGAAGTTTTATAACAACTGAAGGATTGTGCTATAAAATGGCATCATGTGCCTGGAAAATGCATAATACCCCCTCTGTGTTTCAGACATCTATCAAATCATAGGTCCAAATAAAACAACGCAGAACAAAAATGAGAAAAAAATCAAATTTTTAACTTCTAAGTGATCTAGTCACTAAAATATCACTAAAAACATGAAACAGGTGTACTTTCCTAAGACTGGATGGCTTCCAAAGAAACTCCCAAGTTTTTAGGTCCTAAAAGAACCCAAATCATCTAAAGCTCTGCAGACTTCTCTGAAATAACACAGAACAACTAACATTTAGCTGCGACCTATTACATACGGTATCCGCAAGTTTCAGCAAGTCAAATTTAAGATCTTTTTAATGCTACCTTGAATGATATTTAGGACAATCTTGCTGTTTTACAATCAAGCCAAAAGGTAAATTTCTGGGGGTCTATTTGTGTCTCTCTGTGCTTTCTCACCACAGAATTCACCTGGCCTCGAACGGGTTGGCAACAGAACCTGTACGAAAGACTAAATGCAGAAAATATAGCTCTGGAAAACAATAATGGTTGTAAGTGAAGCGCATTCTTCAAGTTCAGTTTCAAGATAAAAACTATTTTCAGTTCTCGCTTTCTTTAATTTCTTAGAAAACAAATTTCAGCTCAATAAAATGAGAGTGGTCACACGTGCCCAACACGTTGAGTATTAGCCAGCAACGATGTGACAGTCATAGTGTAAACACTTAGGAGTATAAAGCATGATGTTATAAACTGTGTTTCTGGTTTGTTATCACCATGCAATGCACTCTGAAAGTGTCCTCGACATTAAGCCGGTCCTCTGCTTATCTGTGATAAGTGGCACAAGACTGCAGGACTCATGATTTAACAGTCATGTGTCCTATGACATTTACAACAAAACAAATCTGTCAGCTGCTTGCCTAATATTGCAGTGATGGCATCCATACCAAAGTATGGCCCTCCCCCTCCTGAAGAATGAAAGATTCATTGTGCTCCATAATAAAAGGAAACAAAACATTGACACAGGAACAAATCTGGACTTTTTCCTTTGTTTGTAGTCCACTGCAACGGAGATGTTCGAATTTAGCGACTTAAATTAAATCTGGGATTCTACGGGTCGTCTCCTGTCGGATGTCTTCTCCAAAAACGAGAACAGCGTGGCTCCATCTTTATCTCTGACCACCGCTGGCTAGATCCCCGTTTCTGCCGCCTACTCAGAGCAATATCGGCTCGAGAGGCCCTGGGTGCTAAGAATAGCTCCATTAGTAATTGTTTTAGATAACAACACAAGCGCTCCATTCACAGTGGCCTTTTCAGCGGCACATGCTCAGACGGGGGGGTGGATAGGACGCAGACAGCACGCTCTCAGGGGCCGCCGCTTTTTATCGGCCGGCCTGGAAAATAAATGGCGGCAAAAGGCACTTCGCTGGAGCTCACTTCCTGGATGAGCAGACGTTCGGGACCGGTCATTTCCTCCTTTGTCTGGTACTGATATGAGTCACGCTTACAAATCTAATCCAGAACCCACCGGAGGTTATGATGGATTTATTTCTTTTACCTCAAACATTGAACGATATTGCTTTGAACTGTGACGCCTCCAGCTAAAAGCTGCGCTACACTGTAGCGTTTATCTACGGACCTCGTCAAGGTCATATGGGCGTGCTAAAATCAAACGCTTGATTTAGTTAACGTTTCCACCGGGGAGTCCAAGACGAAGGAGCCATAAAGTCAGACAGCAAAATCATGATTTTTATGTAATAAAGCTGTAAGTAATAATATTGTTATAGAAACTACATGTTAGACCTCCGTGTTCTTTTGTTTTTGTTGCGAAGGAAGAGATGAAACGGCTGTGGGCGTGATTAAATCCCGAGGTTTTAGCCATAAATGTGATTATTTTACAGCATTTACACTGTGAAACCGAATTATAATCAGTTCAGTCAGAGGAGGCTCTTTCTTTCTCTCCTTTCTTTCTTTCTTTCTTCTTTTCTCTTTCTATTTCTTTCTTTGCTTCTCCACAGATGGTTTTAATCAAGCGCTGATGGTTTAAAATCCATTAAATGATTCAAGTTAACATAAAATATGAACTTTTCTGACTACTTCAAAGTGATATGACAAAATCATTATTTTGGAAAAATGTAGCCATTTAGAAATGCTTAGCTCTCTCCCTCCACAAAACTACAAAGGTCCACAAATTAGAAAAAGGTTAGAAAATCTCTTCCCCTGGTGATGAGTTTTTATCCTGATCTGAAAAACACGCCTCTACAATTTCAGTCATTAATGGCTAAGGTTTTCATATCGAGATGATAGAGGTTAAAGTGAGTTCCTAATCGATTATTAATGGAGCAGCGAGTATAGGTGCCAACACCATCTTCCACCTGTTTCTGATTACTGCAGGTTAAAATCAGCCCTGATCTCTTGGTTAGAAGGATGAGAAAAGAATCAGATGTTTGGAAAAATCTCTTGATTGATACAAGCTAAGCATATAACTGCATATTGTTACAAAAATAGATTAAAAGATGCACATCAAAAACTAATTCAAATGTATGCACTAAAATGTAAATTTTCGTTAAAATTCAATAACCTACCGTTCATTTATTGTTTCCTTGATCGTTTGAAGCAAACAATGCATCTGCAGCTAAAAGATACTTGTAATGTCAACATGTGAAAAGTTCTGTCTTTTCTGCACAACTTAGCATCAATATAGTGTAGGCTAATCTGTTTTCTTTTTTTTTTTTCCGGATTAACTGATTAGTATTTGGAAAGCAAAAGTTGCTTAATATGAATATTTTTTTTTTTTTGCAAAACTTTGTGAAACTAAAGCTTTCTTTTACTTGTATCAGTAGTGCAGAATGTGTATATACAGTATATATATATATATATATATATATATATATAAACATTTTTTGCTTAATTACTGCTCTGGACATGTCGTTTTTAAGCAGGTGTCAATATTTTTTTAACAAATTACGGTAACAACAAATCAAATACTAGATTAGTTGATTACTTTAATCATCGTGATTAAGCCGATTAATTGATTCAGGCCTAATTTTCAGTTTAAAATAAAAACCTTTGGATCAACGTACAATACTTTTAACACTTTATTCTATACTTTTGGGTGAATCAGATGACGGGATAATTTGCCTCAGGTGATTCTGCTATGATACTGACCCATTTCTACTGCACAACAGAACGTGGAACTGCACAGGTCATTGTAGCAATCAAAGAGACATAAATCCAAATGCTGCTCTTACCTGTCCTGCGTCCCAACAGAACCCAGTTTTTCGTTCTTGGTGCAGAAGTCCGGGGAGCTGTGCAAATAGATCATTTCATTCTCCCGCAGCGGCCTGACATCGATGTCTTTGGGGACAAGATGCTTGCGCGTGCCCATGGTCCGGTAAACCACCTTGGTCGCAGACAGGTACTTGGACTTCAGGTCCATGGCGATCTCCCTGAGGTCCTGGAGGCCTTTCCAGCAGGTCCTTATGGAGCAGGATCCAGAAACACCATGGCATTTACACTTCATCACCAGCGCCTCTTTCAGTGCCTGAACATCAACGAATCTGGATTAACTCACCACATCTAGAAAGAATAACTTAGCAGAACTCCTCCTCTAACACCCGCGTACCTGTCTCCCGACTTCGCTGTTGTGAAGCTGCATCAGTTTGTTGGCACTGGAACCAGAGCGCTTTATCTTCATGGGGGCGTCTGAAAACTTGGAGCCCATGAAGATGCCGTAGTTGAGGTTGTCGGCACAGCCGCCCCAGCGGTAGCCGGGCTCCGGGATTTCTGCGGGTATAGGGCCACACGAACACATCCGTAGATCCCCGGAGGTGCAGGCTTGGGCGATGGTGTGGCTGATGGTCGCCGCCGACAGCGCGTACACAAAAGCGGCCTCCCTCGTTCCTGAAAGACGAATCAGAATATTAGGAGCAACATTTGTGTGGCCTCTCTAGTTTCAAATGGGCCTAATTTTCTATTTATTTTTTACTCTTATTTTAACACAATGGTTTAGGGCTGAAACAATTAATTGTGACAAATTGAAATAATCGTTAACTAATCTACTGATCAATTAATCGCCAACTGCATTGAGATGATACCAACAAATTCAGAGTGGTAATTAAGCAAAGACTATAGAAAAATACATACAAATACATTTTGCATTTACAATAGATCTGTACACATGTTCTATCCAAACTCCTCAAGTGGAATAGTTTTAATTTCACCTGGTCTAAATTCACTAAAGAATGCTGTAGCTTTTTAGGCAATAAAATGTTTATTTTCTTCTCTTGAATTATTTGGTTATTGTATCTTTTAATCTGATCTAATACTGAATATAAGAAAATGCCTAAGTGGTTAAATGAAAAATCAAACAAATATTTTTACCAATTATCGATTAATTGCCCAAGTCAGATCACAAACATCCAGCAGCTATTTACTCAAAAATACAAACTTGGGCATTAAAGTTTTTGTATTTGTTGCAACTTTATGTAGAAGAAAAACACAAATGAGAAGCAAATAATTATGCTAGATTAAAAAATGGCTGCAAGAGGATAGAGGTTCACCTTCCAGCAAGACAACGACTGCTAACATGCAATAAGAGCTACAAAATATATTTAAATCAAAGTATACTCGGGTGTTACAATGACCTCATTGACGTTTATTTAGTCTCTCCTGCCAGCTTGACTGAGCTTGAGGTTTAACTTAGGTACAAAACTCAGTTGCAAAGTTGTTAGAGACATACACTAAAAGACTTGCAGCTGTAAATGCAACAAAATGTGGTTCTACAATGACTTGACTGAGCTAGCGTGTAAAGTCAAATGCAGGTCACACTTTTAAGATTTCTTTCTTAAAAAATTGATGCGTCAAACTCCCAGAAGAGGGGCCAAGTCAGGCCTGCCATAACTTTTTATGTTGTATGCTAGACTTAAAAAAAAAAAAAACTGTTGTGTGCTTAAATATCATTTTGTGAATGAAATCAATGTTTTTTTATCTTCATAAAATTTCTATTTTCACAAATATTTAATTCTAAGAAGAACTCATCAAACGGAGAAACAGCTATTTATTAATAGTGTAATAGTTAGTGGGTTTTATGGACACATTCTGCCACAATGTTTAAGGTCATTCATAATCTTGATTTGGTCCAAAGTGAAAATGAGTCTGACACCTCTGTTTTAAGGCATACCTCGGCAAGGCTCTGTATGAAAACAATCAAAAGCATTAAATTGCAGCTTTCATCACGATTCACTCAGTTAAAGATGCTCAGATGAAAATAACAAGGAAAAAGGACAAAAAACACGTTTTTGATTCCCATATTTAAACATTGTCTGCTTCTAATTCTACCCCAATTCTTCCTTTTCTTAAGTGCTTTCTTTTGGTTTTGTTAGAACAAAAAAAGCAGAGACCTGCATATATAACCACCGGTTCTCACGCTCTAATGTAAAGTGAGCGCTGATGTGATTGGTAGTGATGTGCACACACATAATGTCAAAGCATGGGAGCAATCGGCGGTACGGGAAGGAATCACAGATCAAAGCCAGGCCCGGTCAGCGATGAGCCATTTCCTGTCCGGTACAGACTGCTCATTTACCCCAAGGCAGCCACGTCCCGTTCAATGAGCACTGTACGTCCCAAAACCCTTCCTTGCTATTCCCAACGCGCCATCCATGAAACTACCACTGACTGTTTCAAGGTTCTTTGGCAACGGGAAACCGCTGGATCAAACTGCAGTCCAAGCAGGCATGCGGCCTGAGAAAACTGTGGGTTTCAGACATACCAAACCAAATTACCACAGCAAGCAACAGCCTCGGTTCAATTCTTTGCTACGGGTTCTTCGTGTTAAAGCGATGAGAATTTTTTTACTGGCAGCAAAATCATACGGCGATCATGGAAAGCGTGCCCTTAATCCAAACTCATGTGGCTTTAAATATTTGCTTTGATTTGGAACCGGGGGTTCCAAATCAAAATATTGTATCACAATATTTTGTGGTACTATGGTGATAATGATAAAATTGATGGTAATATTTATTCATTCGTTTTAAGGGAACCTTAGATATGGCTGTGACTGCATGACACAGCAATCAGAGCTCCACAAACACAAATACATTCTTTAGGACACCAGTCAAAAAAAGACGCATGATTTGTCACGAGATGCACATAATAATTTAATTTAATCATATTTTCAAATGTATTGATGTTTATTAATCATCTCAATTAAGAAAAGTAAAACTAGCATAGTATGGGCAATAATTTGAGCTTATTGTCACAATGAGAAATTTATCACGATAAGTGATAAACAGTGTGATAAATGCCCATCTGTGTTTGAAACACAGCAGTCTCTCTCTCTCTCTCTACGCCACCGTACCTCTCTCCAGGTCCGGCCGATACTTGGTGGCGTTGACGGGGATTTCGATGGAGGAGCAGTTCCAGCGCATGTCGGCGAACGTCTTCTGACACGTTTTCTTGACTTCGCGGGCGGCTTGGATGATGGTCTGCATGAGCTCCAGGTTGCTGCGGCACAGCTGCGCCTGGGAGGACACCATGCCGGGGAGCAGCTTGCAGTGCTGCGTCTGGTTGACGGGTCTAGAGGCGGGTGTGTGTGACAGCGCTCTGGAAACAGCGAGAGAGAAAAGACAAACGCACTTTTGGTCAGCGTGCTGGCGTAATACGCTCCGTGTTGAGCCTGAAATGTTCGCACATTTTCTCGGACGATAAAAAACGATACTGTTGCCATTTTGAGACCATTTTTCCAACTGTTAAAATAATAATAATAATAATAATAATAATAACGGCATATGCAAGTATACCTCTCAAAGATTGAAAAAAAAAGATTGATTTCAAAAAAAAATTTCTAAAACTGGAAGGTATTTTAAATATCCAAAGCAAATAAATGAAACAACCGAAACAATAAATAACATTGATTATGGAGTGTCAACAATACAAAATTGCCATTCGAAACATTAGGCTTAGGGATAACTGGCAAGACCTTTTGTAAAACCAAAAAAAAAAGTGAAAACTTTGTACTGTTTCAAATGTTTTTTTTTTTCAAAATGGCGGCTTTTTAGTAACATTAAAGTGGAGCATCTCTTTAAAGATTAAGCAAAGGATACAAACAAGCACGCAAATGGAAATTATTGCTTTGGTTTTACTTTACAATGCAATTAACAGATTTATGGCTTATTGTTGACTGGTTTACTCCACATATTTCGATTATGGTGCTGACAGTGAAAATATATTGATTGCTTGATTTGCGAAAGTATCACTTTTGTGAGGACAAAATTGCGAGATTTATTCCTTGCCTGGTGCCAAGTGTTTGATTTCTGTCTTTCCCTGTGCTTCAACCCCTACTTTGGCACGCACAGACAGAAAAGCACGGGTCTTTCACACCCTGCAAAGTAAAGTCAGATGCATATTCATAAAATATAAGTGACTTCTTCTTGGTGCAGGCATTTTCTTTTGTTTAAGCACTGAGAATGTGCCAAAAAAGAGAAAGAAAAAATGAAAGAAAACATCCAGAGAAGCTCCCAACGCAGGAAGTGTGGTCCTCTGCGGCTTCAGCCTGACATGAATCAGCAGAGCACAGACAATGAGAAATTGGACGGATTCGGTTTGTAACGTTCTCAGATATTAAAGCAGGTTAGGGACTGAGTTCGCAGCGCCTGTTCCGCATTAGCGGCAGAGAGGGGCCGCCACTATGTGCCCGGCGATACGGTACGACTGAGCTGGGCTCGAAGTGAGCCAGCGCTCGGAGGTGTTTACAGCTGCATCTGTTTTGTGTTGCGCTGCTGAGCGCGATCAGGGCTCTGCAGCTTTCCCACTTAGATTCACCACATGGCATTCAGGCTTCTCACTGGCACACCTGCTGAGGTGTTGCGAGCGTGTCCTTCAGCCACGGAAAACGCACAATAGGCGTGGATTTACAGTAGACACAGTGGCACAGGAATCAGGCAGTGGGTGATTGAAACTGCAAGTAAGGCATGTTTTGATGCATGTCTAGGTTTTTGTTGTTGTTGGAACTAATTTTACACAACAACAAGGTTCTACTCTGCATCCCCAAAGTCAAAGCCAAACAGGCTGTGTTCAGTTTTTAAACTTCACTAAGCAAGCTAATAGAAAATAGTAAAACTGCCGAAACACCGAGTTTATTTAAATCAAAACTTTCCCCTTCATCTGACATAACTGGAACATTGATCAATATATATCTTTACTATTTTATTTTAGGGGTTGCATCAATTATTGTGAGAAATTTCTTGTTATGATAAGAATTTTGATTTATTGTTGTCACAAGAAATTCCAGTTCATGTAAATGTTATTTTTGTACTATTTTGTCCACTGTTTTTGCCACAAGAGCATCAACAAATATCGGTAAATTCGAAAATGTGATTACTTGACGTCTCCATGTGTAGTTTAGCGATATAAATCACACCTTTTTCAGTGTGTGGCGTCCAGAAGAAGCTTATTTCAAGTAGAAATATTTTTCAAGACAAATATTTGTGGTGCTGTGAATGCTGTACCACGCGGTTCCCTAAAAAAAAGTTACAAATTGTTTTAATTGTTATTTTTATTGTTTTTTTTAAATTATTCTAGGTCCACCTCTCTCACTGCTAATTTCATTCTGATGATTTTTTTTGCCGTTTGCTATGATGACATTTGTGAAAATATAAAGTTTTTTTCTGGTTTCATAATTGGTGAAACCAGAAAACAAAATGTATTATGTTCAAAGTGCTTTTGTGAAAGCACTTTGAACTGCCTTGTTGCTGAAGTGCTGTACAAATAAACTTGACTTGAAAAGTTAGATTTTCAAAACTTGTCTCAGTCTTTAAAGCGTTCAGAGTTGCTGTGCTTCCCTCCCCAACCTGTTGCTGCACACTTTTCCCCTCGCTTGTAAGACTGACAGATTCACGTCGCTTACTCTTGTCAGTTTCAAACAAAACCAGCTCTCATCGTTATCAAGGTCGTGCTGTCTTAAAACCACGGCTAACAGCAAAAAGTGTGACTAAAAGAGCGGTAAAAAAACAGCTAAAAGAGATTGTATTCTGTGCAATAAGCGGTTAAAAATAACTTTAATTTTTGATCAAGTCTACAAAATCAAAATAGCACCAAGTGTAATAATTAATATGTTGTCTTCTCTCAGAAGCAGTGTAAAATATTTTTGGCCCTTTATTTAAATAAAAGTGATTTAATCATGCTATTAATGTCTTTTTTTAATTATTGTTATTATTATTTTAAAATTCTATATTGTAGCACAACTTTAACACAAATGAGTTTATACGCATTAAAGTTATCCAGGAGTATGAATGAAAAGGAGCGAGTTTGAACTCAAACAAAATCAGAAATCATATCGGTGCATCTCTGTAAACTCTCTGCAGCAAAAGAAGAAAATAGCAAACGTTCACCTCAAACATAAACTAAATCCAAAATAGCAACCTGGGGATTTTATGGACTTTCTAAACCTCTTGTGAAAATGGCTGTTTGCTTTTGCATTACAGTGAATAGAAGCAATCAGCCTCAGCTACAGCGAACCATTTTTTTTTTTTTTTTTCATAATTTGAGGCCTTACTAGACTACACACAGAAAGCGGTGACACCACCGCGGCGCCAACTCATTTTACCCTTCTGCTCTTCGGCCGCCGCCAGAATTCGTCACATTCGCCGTCTCCGACGTGAAAGCGCGCGACATTGTGCTGATTTCACTTCAGGCCGCATTAAAAGTAATGAAACAATTACGATTTCCTTTATAACTTCAATAAGCAGCGGCTCAGTCGCTCTCCCCCGTCATCGGACCCAAACACACAGAATACGCAGTGGAACGCCACGGAGAGCTGGTGCCTGTTTCCAAGCTGCTGTGAGTTTTTCCACTTCCCGAAAACATCCAGCAAACGAAGTTCCAAATTTTCAGTGAAAATAGTTTACACATTAAGCTGGGGGAAGAAGAAAAAAAACAACAACAAAAAAAACACACTCTCTGCTTACAGAACAAGATGGTGGGATCGAAGGAGGATACTTACAGCCATTTGATGCCCGAGCAGACCTGAGACAGCAGCAGAGCAGTGAGCACACTGAGAGGCAGGATGTGAGAGCTGCTCCTCATGATGGCTTCCAGTTCACAGGGGACGCAAACACAGAGAGCTCACACTCAGAGGTCAACGCACATGGCCCGGCCCCCGGTCACAAAGTCCTGCAGCAAATCAGGAGAATGTCAACGCTGGTGCAACACACACAAGACAGTCTGCACGAGATGTAAAACGCAACTTCAATATCCACTTCAAAAATTCACATCAGGACTAATTTAACTAAGAGCGTGAAAGAACATTTTAAAGTTGTACTATTTTACATTTGGATTATTTTGCCTTTGTATTTCCTGGCTTCATTTTACTCGGTGGAATCCGCCTCTAAAATATCAAGGGAGTCGAGATGGGAAACGGAGAGAAGAACAAAAAAATACATAAATAAAGCAAATATGGAGAAACTTCTCAAGGCAGATAGCAGCGAGCAGCTGTTGTAGGCCAAGTATTCAATCATACAGCACGGAAAATCCTCTGCCGGAGCTCGTTCCAGCCAATAAACACAGGGAAAACAAATGCAACAGCAGTGAAGCTTAAAGACACAGGAATAAAATTTTTGTCCTGCAGCTGTGAACAGGCTCAAAAAATAATCAGCTGAGTTCACGGTTTAATTATCTAAAGCTGATCTTTAATGTTCTACTCATTCCAATTAAGGGAATCCGCATTGTGGGATTGTTCAATATATTCCGTTCATTTTTTGCCCCTTTAATCTAATTTATTGTCTCAAGGAAAAACATGAAAAACTCCAGATCAGGATCAGCAGCTCAGATCCAGGCGGTGATTTGTGTGGGGAAAGAGGGAAGGTGCAGCTCATCTGAGGCCTGATCTGATAAAAAACAGCCACTGATAAACCGAGAGCCTTTGAAGAGAGCGCGTGAAACGTGCACGCCGCTGATAAGACGCGCACGTAAAGCGCGAGCTCCGCAGCTCGGCGCTGATTGGTCGAAGGTGTTATAACTAAATTAGGGGATATTAATTGTTGCCTTGGTCTAGATTAGTGTGTGTGGCAGCGGCTATTGATGCTCTTTAGGTTGCCACTGTGAGGTAAATACAATACAATCGTTAGCTAATCGATGGTACAAGGAGAAGTCGTCGAGGAAAGTTTATTTCAAGTGTGTAAATGACGTTCTTACATTTAAATGTGACCAAGGCTGACCGAGTAAGATAGCTCCTGTTTAAAAGGTAGGTCTGCACACACACACACACACACACACACACACACACAGTCTCTCTCTCTCTCTTTCACACACACACACACAGTCTCTCTCTCTCTTTCACACACACACACACAGTCTCTCTCTCTCTTTCACACACACACACGGAGAGAGAGGAAACTTGTTCTGTTCAGTCTACATTCTCTGTTTAAGCTTCGTTAAAATATCTAGGATAAATAATTGGGG